ATAACAATTCTTCGTGGTAATCATGAATCTCGACAAATTACACAAGTATATGGATTTTATGATGAATGTCTAAGAAAATATGGAAATGCTAATGTATGGAAATATTTTACAGATTTATTTGATTATCTCCCATTAACAGCCATTGTTGATAATCAAATATTTTGTTTACATGGTGGACTTAGTCCATCAATTGATACATTGGATCATGTTCGAGCTTTAGATCGAATTCAAGAAGTTCCACATGAAGGACCCATGTGTGATTTATTATGGTAAATATAGTGTTGTTAGAAAAAAATTTTAAGTTCATGATAGAGGGATATTGCCTAGTCAATAGGATTATTTAACAACAGCAAAGACGAACTTCAATTGATGTGACTCTTTCTCAGAATAAATCATAAGGCTTCTAAATAGGACTGTTCTTCAGAGATAGGCTTTTCCTTCTGCCTACTCCAAGGTCTCCGTGATTACATACAGAGTGACGTGACTTGTTATCTATGTATACGGCAGGATTGTTGATATTTTTTAAAGGTGGGACGGGATAAAACTTCAACAGAACGTGCTTTCATTCATGAGTTGGTGAAGTGAGACAGAGACAACGAGGCCCGCCGTAACCTGCTGCCTCCTACAGCAGATAATCTGACCCAGGTCATTCCTCCCAAGGGCTTGCTCCAATCCTATTCATCTAGCAGCGACATTCTCTGCTTATTTTTAAATATAGTTTCTTTGATTTCAATCAAGAACTCCTGGTAAGTAGTATAACTAAGCAAATTTGTCAGATATCGAAGTCTTTCAATTAGTTCGAGTCCTAATAGAGAATACTCTTACTTACGCTGAAGCATATGTTCAATTCTGTTTTAAGGTCGGATCCAGATGACCGCGGTGGTTGGGGTATTTCACCTCGAGGTGCCGGTTATACATTTGGACAAGATATTTCGGAAACATTCAATCATACAAATGGTCTTCAACTTGTATCTCGTGCTCATCAATTGGTTATGGAAGGTTGGGAAAACCTTTGTTTTTCCATCATGAAAATTTTAAATTTTTTTTCTTAGGTTACAATTGGTGTCATGATAAAAATGTCGTAACAATATTTTCAGCACCTAATTATTGTTATCGTTGTGGTAATCAAGCCGCGATTATGGAACTTGATGACTCATTAAAGTATTCATTTCTTCAATTTGATCCAGCACCACGTCGTGGTGAACCACATGTAACACGTAAAACGCCAGACTATTTTCTTTAATTTATATTTAAATATAACAAAAGAAACTATTTCATCTCACACTTGGCTTCCCTCCCTTTTTTCTTTCTTAGACAATTGTACACATGTTTTTTTCTCGGCGTTTTCTTTCTCTCTGCAGAGTGAAATGCTTAAAACGAAAGAGAAAATTCTTAGGCAAAAAGTTTACTTTTATTGTTCTGTTCAGTTAAGCAATGCGCATTTTGAATGCTATTTATTCATCTTGAGATTTAATCGCTATGTGTTGTTATTTGATTATTTTTTTTTCTCAATATCTATCTCTGAAACAAAGAAAAAAACCAAAATGATGAACAATACTTTCCTTTCTTTAACTTGCGTTCGTTACTATACATATTTTTGTTTTAAATACCTGTGTAGTTTTACGATTGTTAGTTGAATGACAGTTTCAGTGAGTCGCTTTTCTTTTTTTTTTCTCTTATTATTTTTTTCGTACATGCCCTTATAAATAAACCTGACAAATTCTCTTTTCTTTTTTTTTCTGTAAATTCTTAGCGATGTTTTTTTTTCTCTGATGTGAAAGGTGAATGAGATGCAGTAAACCATTTGACTCAATTTAAATGAAAGAAACCTATCAGGCCGATAGATTTTGTCCTAGAAAAAGGCTTTCGCTAACATTCCAGAGAGATTTAAATTTGAACATGGTGTTATGTTGCTCTTTTTTTTTTGTTTTTGTGTAGTAGTAGATGTCGTGATAGGAGAAAAGATATTAATCGTTATAAGTCACGGTATGTTGGAAGAAGAAATGTATACGAGATGCATTAATATAGGCTTTTCTTTTACTATGACAACCGGAAATGTTAGTGAAGAGAGAAAAAAAATATTTTTTCACGTAGACTCACACTTGCATTAATAATTGTTGAGGAAAATATGTTAGTTTATGATATTTATTCTATATATCGTGTGGTTAATTAATATATAGTGGATATAAAAACAAAAAAAATAAATATTTGTTGATTATAATTTTAGATCAACTATTCTTTTTTTCTTGATTCTTAAAATGTTTTTTTATTAAACAATATACATATTTCAAATGACTGTACAATCAAGAATAGGCGAAGAAACTAAATCTGGACAATATTCATCGAAAGAACTTGATACATGGATTGAACAATTAAAAGAATGTAAACCATTACAAGAAAATCATATTAAATATTTATGTGAACAGGCTAAAGATATTTTATCAAAAGAATCAAATGTACAAGAAGTCAAATGTCCGGTGACTGTTTGTGGTGATGTACATGTAAATATTTCGATTTTGAATTTTTCCTTTTTTTTTGTTTATAATTATCAATGCAAGAGCGCTAGAAAGAATTCAAATAGTATTTCGAGTAGAAAATGTTGTTTTCAATAATCATATTTCGACTTTTTCGATACCAATAAAGCGTAAATAGAATATTGTTTAGACTATCAAAAGATGAAGCAAATTGTTTTCTACAACATAAGGCATCTTTGAGGTCTTTATAATTTTTTTAGCTGAGATACAGAAATATTATGGAAGCCTCTGAAGTCTTTTTTATTACTATATATAAAGAAGCCATTTTTGTACTTTCAATCACGTTGCTATATCTTGGCCAAGGAACTTCGTAGAGAAATAAAAATTTACATTTAACAATTAATAATACATAAATTAAGATAATATTTGTCGGTTTTCTGGCTTTTTCCCCATAATTCAACATGATTTTTATCTATTTATTAATAAAACTAGTATGCAAACTAATTGTACTCTAAGTAGATTTTGTACAAAAGAGAATAATCATAGCATCGGCTTTTCTGTTAGATATTTCGAAAGTTAGATTTTATAAAAACACTAAATAACAAAGAAGACTGCTCATTTATATGGCATTAGACAAGACACTTCGAGAATGTATTAGCAATATTTCTGCCTTTCAGGGACAATTTCATGATTTGATGGAACTTTTTAAAATTGGTGGCAATGCACCGGATACAAATTATTTATTCATGGGAGATTATGTTGATCGTGGTTACCATTCAGTTGAAACTGTAACATTATTGGTTGCACTTAAGGTTCGTTATAAAGACCGAATAACAATTCTTCGTGGTAATCATGAATCTCGACAAATTACACAAGTATATGGATTTTATGATGAATGTCTAAGAAAATATGGAAATGCTAATGTATGGAAATATTTTACAGATTTATTTGATTATCTCCCATTAACAGCGATTGTTGATAATCAAATATTTTGTTTACATGGTGGACTTAGTCCATCAATTGATACATTGGATCATATTCGAGCTTTAGATCGAATTCAAGAAGTTCCACATGAAGGACCCATGTGTGATTTATTATGGTAAATATGGTGTTGTTAAAAAGGCTCTTTGTTCAATAATAAATTTAGGTCGGATCCGGACGATCGTGGTGGTTGGGGTATTTCACCTCGAGGAGCTGGTTATACATTTGGACAAGATATTTCAGAAACATTTAATCATACAAATGGTCTTCAACTGGTTTCACGAGCTCATCAATTGGTCATGGAAGGTTAGAAAAAAAAAAAAATTTTTCTTCTTTAATTTTCAATTTTGCATATTTGTGCATTTATCAGGTTATAACTGGTCTCATGATAAGAATGTCGTAACAATATTTTCAGCACCAAATTATTGTTATCGTTGCGGCAATCAAGCCGCAATCATGGAGCTTGATGATTCATTAAAATATTCATTTCTTCAATTTGATCCAGCTCCACGTCGTGGTGAAATTCAAGTAACACGCAAAATACCTGACTACTTTTTATAAATCGATATAAATAAGATTTTGTTCTCTCTTATATATATTATATGCGTGCTGATCAATAAATGAGTTTGAGAGCGTGAGAGAGAGGGAGAGAAAGAGTGTTTAACAACGTTCATGTCATTGATACATTTCTTTATTTAGACAAAAAAAAATATCAACATAAATATTATTTGTTTTTTTTTGTGTCATTGTGTCCGTCTGGCATTTCGTTTGTCGAAATTGAATTGAATCTTGTTGGATAATGATTGATAATTATGGTTTGAATCATAGATACTATCATCAAATAGTTTTTCGTGCTTCGTTCTTTGGAGACTGATTGAACGTGGATGGGGTAGAGATATTCGGTCTTGTTTTTGACTTGATTTTGATGGTACGGTTGGCGATATTCCAGTTAAAAATAAACGCTCTTTGCTTGATAAAACTTTTCTATCATGTTTATGATGAATTTCTTGAATTGATTGAGATTTGTGATGATGGATTATCGATTTTTTCAATTCAGAAGAAAGTCTTTCAGCATCATCAGAAATATCCTAAACGTAGTTTGAAAAGAAAAAGAATATTTATTTTTGAAATGTTTGATTTTGTCATACTTGTATTGAAGTAACTAAATGAAATTCACGACAACTTTGATCGGGTATATTTTTATCACTATTATTTATTTGACAAATATCACCTGTCCATTTCCAATATTGAAACAATGCAGTCCAATCTCTTTTTGAAAGAAGTTGTACATTATTTTGAAAATTTTCTCGATAATGTGTTCGAGCATAATCCATATAACTTTCAAGTGTTTGTTCTTCCCATGTTCCATAAAGGTTATTTAAAATATCATCGAAATTAGTTGCATATCGACATGATACATAACTTTCTATATTCCATTCAATAACAAGACCTTCTTTTGTTAAACCAACTAATACATCATATGTATGTTGACGAACAAATTTTAAATATTGGCAAATAAAATTATGTGGAACTGGACCACGAACAAGACGTATACAATTCATATTATTTTTATCAAGTATTAAACGTTGTATTAGTTTATCAATATTTGGTGTTTGAATAAAATGAAGAAATTTTTCAGGTTGATTTTTTTGTTGATCAATAGATGTAGCAATTAGAGAGAAACGACCAGAATGGTTTATTTTTAGAAAAATATTATAACCATCTTCATCTAAACATTTCACATAATCAGCATTGATTCTTCGATCACGATGAAATTGATCTGATGAACGATGATTATATTGAGCTTGAAAAACTGCTCCTTGAGGATATTTTTTGCTTGTCCAACGTGAAGAATTTGAATCTTCATAATAACCTTGTATATGATCTCGAGACATAAATGTAGCTGTACATTTAATACTTGCTGCATAATTGACTAGTTGTTCAAGATTTGTGTAAATATGACTACAACGTCGTCCATTACGAACAAATTCAAATATTCCTAAAGCAATAAAATAAAACTCAGTTCTTTTATTTTTATTTTTATTTTTATTTTGTTTCATTATTATTATTTAAATTTACCTCTAAATGAATCAGTCACAGCAAAAGTGCAATGACGTGGATAAACTTCAAATTGATTTTGTTTGTCTTCTAATTGTCTTAATGGTGTAAATAATATTTTCTTTGAAACATTTCGATCAAAAAACAGTATTGTATGATCATTATTGTCATTTGATGTTTTTTGTTCATTATTATCACTACAGAATGATACAAGTAATGGTAATCGATTTGCTGTTCGTTTAAGAATATGTTTCAATGAACTATATGTATCACTCCAAACACATTGTGAAATAATCAAACGTCGAAGACTTTCATCTTCATTAAAAGGAAGTGCTTTGGTCATATTATATTATGTTCGTTTGCTATTAGTTTTCATACACATACGACACTGCTATATAATAGACGAAAATTATTCTGTGCATTTCACGCATGATCAATTATGTATATGTAATTCCTGATTTGTGTTGTATCAGAGAAAACGAAAAAAAAATCAGAAAATAATGATGAAGTGATGTGATATGATTCAATAAATTCATACATGTGCGCCAATTAAAATACCTTGATTTGTTTATCGAAAAAAATATTACAAAACGGTGTGTGATTGTATAGGCTGTCAATGTAAAGTAACTTATTGATTTTTTCAATTAAAGACTGTATATAAAAAAAAAACGTGATGCGCAACAGAGATTGGAACAAATAAGAAAACTTGTATTCGACTTCGATACGATTCGACTTTGCTTCCAAAATTTTCGATTTGGACTCGATTCACATCCCAGGTCAAACAATCCCATTATCACATTTTGTATATAATTCTTAAGGTCGACGTTTGTAATAGGAGCGTATTGTGTGATTCTGATATGATCTTAATGTCAGATCTTATACGATTGACGTATAATTTTTCAGGGTTTCGCACAATGTTACGTATCTGTGATTTTCTTCTACTTTTATCTTTATTCACGTATGGAGATTTATTTGTAAAAAGTATAGAAATTAAATTAAGCAATTTAAACAGAAGGAAAGCTATTTCTATTTAATTAAATTGATTAAATTATCTGTGAAGTTAGCTTTTAGCAGATCAGCACCGTTACATAGGAAATAATACTTGATGTATTGATACGTATTCAAAAATCATTTATATGTTTAAATCAAAAAGTACAATAGAAACGAAATTTTTAAAGAATATCATTACTCATAAAAATTCGATATTAATCAATTCGAGAACAATGATACGATTGACCTATGTCGTGCAACTAAACGAAAAAACACCTGTTAACCACAATTCTTTTGCTTACTTTTCTTTTGTGCCTCGGTGCATGAATATTTTCAAACTCATAGAAGAATGTTCGATTTCAGTCGAAGTCGTATCTTATTATTACTTATGAGTGCACTCAAATCACCTGTACCAGTCACATCAGCTGTTGCCGCTTAGCTTTTGAGTGTAATTGTTGATTAAAGATAGTGTCAGAAAAAAAATAGTCATTTATTAGAAGATTTCATCAATTATGAAAAAATGTGGCACCATCTGGCACAATATATTGTGACATATTAAAATCAAACTTTCTGGAGCTGAAATCGATCTTTTCGAGATTGAGTGCGTTTATTTAATAGATAAATTATAGAATGGCTGTTCAAAATAGAATAATGAGAATCGTCGTTCAGAAAAAGAACCGAAAGACTATAGTTCGAGCTTATCAAACTGTGAAGTGAAATATATATCAACTTCGCTTTGTTTTTTGTTTTTTTCTCGCAATTAACTTATGTGCAATGTATCACATTCAGTTTATCTACTCAAAATTTCATAATTATAATTGTCAGTGAAAATAGTCTTTAGATCAGTGCGAATAGCTTTCTAAGTTTGATAATATAATAGATCAAAATAAGATTTACTTATAAGAGATTTATTAAATAGATTGATGTTAAATTATAGAGAATTTAGTTCAGAAAAAATTCTTTTATTTGCCCTTGCAACTGTTTGGATAAAGTGTACCATCACATGAGCATAAGTATGGAAATCTTGCATCACCAGTAGCTACGCATTGACCAGGTGAACAATCCAATGTACATTCTAAAAACATTTTAATTAAAGATGGTAATAAGAAACAACAAACCGACTCACGTTTAGTGAAGTTGACTGTTTCACAATTTTCACCATCGAAAATACCAGGGCACATACATACATATGAATTTTCACCTTGATAACAAGTACCTCCATTCATACAAGGTGCGTCTTCGCACGTTAATGGAACTATAAAAATGGCAAAGTTAGCTATAAGTTCTTCGATGAATTATGAGCAAAATACAAAAATAAATTTAGATCAAATCTATACTTTGAAACAAAATACTCTTACTGCAAGTCGAAAACTCAGCAAAAGTATCTAAAGATTTGATTTCAATATTCATCTCCCTATAGACTACCGACTTAGTCTGTATTTATCGCGTGCATTTGATAAAAATATAATCTCATAATTTCTCAAACATCAAAAAGACTCCATAACACCTTACGGAATACATTCACCATTCATTTAAAGTTTCTCTTCAAGTATTTTTCTACTCATTTTAAACTAATCTATTAAACCTATGAACATAAACTAAAATCAACATACCTTTTATTTCGCATTGGCGTCCCATTGTTCTGTTGGGGCACACACACATAAATACTTCATCGCGTGAAATGCAAGTGCCATTGTTTAAACAAGGATCCGAATCGCATGGATCGAATGAGCTGTATTCACAATAACGACCAGAAGCTCGAGAAGGACAAATACAAAATGCTTCAGAACCCATCGAGAAACATGAACCGTTATTCATGCATGGAGTACTTGCACAAGCGTCATACTGCAGCCACTGATATTCACAGAAAGCTCCACTTGTACCATAAGGACAACTACAATAAGATGTATTACCATATGAAACGCAACTGCCATTATTGAG